ACCTCGGCAGCCCTTTTGCCGCCTGGGCCTCAAAGTCGCGTCTCTGACATGGGGGTGATGTAGACTTCGTAGGTTGCTGCACGTTTTTTTCTGAGTGAGTGCATACAAAGTGCATAGAAGAGAACTGGGGGCTTCGTAAATATTAACACCATCATCATCATCACCATCGCCACCATCACCATTGCCACCGCCACCAGTGCTGCAGGCAGTATGTGGCTTGTGGCAAAGGGCACAGGCTTGGAATCAAACTCGGGCATAGTTCTAAGTTGAATCGAGTCCTCACACAGTTCCAGTCCCCTCTGCGTCCTCCGCATGTGACTTTATTTGGAAACGGGGCGATCGGAGATGTCCTGATTAAGATGAGGTCATACTGCAGTGGAGCGGGCCAGTGTGCCCGAGGGCCTTATAAGAAGCGAAGGGACAGAGGCAGACCAGGGAGGAGGCCCCGTGACAGCCGGCAGAGTTGGAGGGATGATGTGTCTGCAAGTCCTGGAACAGTTACCTTGCCAAGTAGAACCGTGGCCAGAGTCGGCTCCCTGTGACCCTTCTTGATCTTCCATGAAAGAAAGCACAACAACCTTCAGCCCTCAACTCCCCCAGCAGGAAGCACAGAGACGGCAGAAAAGGGGGAGGGGGATCCTTCCAACTGGAGGACGTTTCATTGATGATAACCCACAGTCCCAACTCCATTTCTCACGTTGCTGCAAAGCGGGAGAACGGCTCCAGCGCTGGGAGCCGTCGGGACAGGCTGGCATGGATGACAGTTCATGACGCGGGGCACAGGGCCCACAGTCACAGCCGCGCCCTGCGGCGCCTCACCCGGTGTGCAGCCCGCCAGCGGTCGCTGCTGATTCCTGAGCAGGGTCACGTGAGCAAAGCCGGCACCAGGATGGTGGTTCCACCTTGGCAGGTGGACGGACCAGAGGCGGGGACACCTGGGAAGGGAAGACAGTAACGAGGTGACTGAATTTGCAACCAGAGTCTTTACGAACGGCCTTGTCTTTGACCCAGACATTCTGCTTATGGGCTTCCCTCCAAGGAAACGAACTGGCGCTCACATGTGAGGTATGGGAAGACGTTCTCGGTGACATCGTTCGTGATAAAAATTGGAGAGAAGACAAGATGGGATTCGGCAAGCCCGTTATTAGACATTTACACAAAGGAAGGCCTTGGCAGCCGTCACAGGTGATTTTGAGCCGAGGACTTGGCCTCCTGGAAAGATGCTCACAATATGCTGTTCAGTGAAAAAAAAAAAAAAAAGTTAAAATAGTGTGTTATTTACACTTACATAAAAGTCTGCTTACAGGGGTCTGCACTTATGGAAGATTGTGGGGAGCAGCTACAGTGTTTGGACAGGTTCAAGCCTCGGACTAATGAGAGGGCACAGTCCTCTCATGGCCACGTGCAAGTCCCAGCTTGGAGGGCAGGGCCCTCCCAGCACAATTATAGCCAACAGCTATGGTTGTGAGCTTGAACCTATGGTCCGAACACGTGGCCCCACGTGCCTGAGTGATGTGGACTTGATAGAGTTCAGGTGCATGTAGTTGAGTAGGCTCGAAACCCAGGAGAATGTTGTAAACATCTTGACCACGCCCTTACTTTGCCTCGTGGCATCTGCTATAAAATAAAGACACGGCTTGTGGTCCCTGGCGCTGTCTCTCTCCATCCGGGTCCCATCCATCCTTTACCGCCCCCTCTCAGGGTCACTGAACCAGGCTGAGCTGGCGTGGCACATAAGGTGCCCTGGGGCTGAATATGCCATGGCCGTGCCAGCTTGCTACAGAAGATATACGTTTACAAATAAGCATACAAGTTTTGAAGGTAAGATGTAAAAATAGGACGATTTCTGGTTGGTGGGATCCCCTAGGCCAGTGATGGCGAACCTTTTGAGCTCGGCGTGTCAGCATTTTGAAAAACCCTAACTTAACTCTGGTGCCGTGTCACATATAGAAATTTTTTGATATTTGCAACCATAGTAAAACAAAGATTTATATTTTTGATATTTATTTTATATATTTAAATGCCATTTAACAAAGGAAAATCAACCAAAAAAATGAGTTCGCGTGTCACCTCTGACACAGTGTCATAGGTTCGCCATCACTGTCCTAGGTAGTGGTCGGCAAACTGCGGCTCTCCAGCCACATGTGGCTCTTTGGCCCCTTGAGTGTGGCTCTTCCTAAGCCTTAGGAGTACCCTAATTAAGTTAATAACAATGTACCTACCTATATAGTTTAAGTTTAAAAAATTTGGCTCTCAATAGAAATTTCAGTCGTTGTACTGTTGATATTTGGCTCTGTTGACTAATGAGTTTGCCGACCACTGCCCTAGCGTGTCTGCCTGTCCAGGATTTCTGTGTCCAGTGCACAGGGGGTAGGTGTCAAGCGCTCAGATTCTGGAGTTGTGCAGACCTGGATGCCTGTCCCAGCTCTGCCGCTTCCTGGCTGTGTGTCTTTGGGCAGGTTCTTAACCTCTCTGGGCTTCCGTTTTCTCTCTGTAAAATGTGCCTGAGCGTTGGACCTGGGGTGCCAGGGAGGACGCCTGAGCTCATCCTCAGGGCGCATCTCAGCACGTGGCCTGGGGCTTAGTAAGTGCGGAGTCAACGTGTCACCAACGCCACGCGTGAATTTACATGCATTTGTATTATTATGTGGCAAAGAAATCACAAACGTTGGGTAAAATGATGGCTTTTCTCGGTCACAGCAGGATTTGAGGACTCATATGGAGCAGGGCTGTCCTTGCCTGTCTGCCTCCCGTGAGGCTGCGGGCTGGAGCGTGGACAAGAACTTGTTCGTGTCAGCAGGGCCAGCCCCGTTCGCTGAGCCTCCGCCCGTGCCAGGCTCCCTGCCAGGCGTTGCCCTGCCTCCTGGCTGCACTGCCTCCTCGCCCTGGTCCTCAGCGAGGATGGTATTCTCCGCCTCGCGTTGCAGATGGGGAGACGGAAGCCAGGGACAGTGAAGCAAGCGGCGAGAGGCCCCGTGGCCAGTGCAGGGTGGAGCCAGGAGTCCAGGCAGCTCCGTCTGAGGTCAAGGGCCAAGAGCTTGGCTGCAGGCATTGCTGTTCAAGGGGGGAGGGGGCGGCGGGCGCAGGGAAGGCTCGGTGAAGTCCAGCGCAGGCACGGAGGGGGGTGCTGGGCGTGATGAGCAAATGCAGAGCACAGAGGCTGGGGCCTCCGGGGGTGACTGTTAGAGTGTACGGCCGACCAGCTGCGGTCTGGACGCCTCCTCGATGGTGGATGAATGCTGGGTAATTCCACTGGCTTCCTGCTAAGGTCTGCCAACCAGTTAATACATGTGGGGACTTTGGGGTGACTAGAATTTAGAATTCTTAAACTAAAAAATATTCCATTGCTAGAGTTCACCAAGAAATCAAATGAACAATTTTTCTTCTTTTTTAAAAATATATATTTTTATTGATTTCAGAGAGGAAGGGAGAGGAAGAGAGATTGAAACATCAATGATGAGAAAGAATCATTGGTCAGCTGCCTCCTGCACGCCCCCTACTGGGGATCAAGCCCGCAACCAGGGCATGTGCCCTGACTGAATGGAACCGTGACCTCCTGGATCATATGTTGATGCTCAACCACTGAGCCACACCGGCCAGGCAACAATTTTTCAGAGATCAGATGTCTGAAAAACTTTGCAAATCCCTATTATCCACATGGCCAGCTCGGCCAGTTGAAAGTCTGGTCCTGTTTCTGTGTCTTTCAATTACTGCCATTGGGGGTGGGGGGGATTTTTTTTTACTAGGAAACATTTCAAATACATACAAAGTAAGCAGAGAGTATAATGAATTCCCACATACGCATCACCCCATGTCACCGAGTATCAGGAAAACGCTGCCATTCTTGTCTATACCTCCTCCCACCCACCACCCTACCTCCCCCCTCCCCCCAGGGATCATTTTTATAGTTCGTTTCTTACGAGGTGAAATTTACATACATTGAAATGCACAAGTCTCCGCTTCCCATTCTGACACGGATGCAGCCGGGGAACCCACACTCCTATCACAATATAGAACGTCTCCTTTGCGCCTCCCTGCCCCCCAGACACCCTCTGTCCTGGTTTTTTCACCTTAGGGGAGTCTGCCTGCTCCAGAACGTTCTATAAATGGAACCGTGTCGTATGCATGCTGTGTCTGGCTTCTCTCCTGCAGCGTGACGTCTGTGAGATTCACCCATGTGGCTGCCTGCACTGGTAGCCTGTTCTCTCCTTGGGAGCAGCATGTGATGATGTGAACATACCGGAGTTTGTTTATTCATTCACCAGTGACGGGCGGCTGGCTTCTTTCCATTTCGGGGCTCTTAGGAGCACAGCTGCTGTGAACATTTGAGCACATGTCTGGTGGACGCGTGTTCTCATTTCTCTTGGGTAAATACCTGGACGCGGAAGGACTGGGTCGTGCGGCAGGTGCACGTTGAACGTTTTGGCGATTTCCATCCGTCTCCCGGAGTGGCTGACCGTTCTGCGTTGCCACCGGCCGTGGGTGCAGGTTGCAGTTGCTCTGTGTCCCCCCAGCGTTTGGTGCAGGCAACCTTGGTCGCTGGATTCTGCTCTTTTTAAATGAGCTAATGTACGGGTGGAGTTTCTGGGAGATGTTCCCCTGGCTGATCAGCGGGGTGTTGCACGGTTGCTGGGAGGTCCAAGACACGATGTGCTCGATGCTGTTTCTTTGTCTTCCCAGAATTCCTTCCCCACCAATGATGAGGGAGGTTCCTGGGGGCGTTGGGGTCACAGAAGATGGGGCACTGCGGTTGTGAGGGGGGAGCTGGGCTGCCCGTGCCTCAGCTCTGCACCCCCCTGGAGCTCCGGGCCTGCTTGGAGCACGCAGGGGGCCGAGCGGCCTGGCCCCCTTACAGGCCTGGAAGCTGCTCCCTCACCACGTCCTGTCTTGTGGGGGGTCTCTGAGGCCCAGACCTCGGCCCCTCTCACCACGGGGAGCACATCGTGGAACTGCCGCCCCTGAGAGTCCACGCCCACCTGGCCCCTCTCTCTCCCCCGCAGATGTTGGCCCTGTGACCCTCACGGAGGACCCAGCGGTGTTCCAGAGGGAGTTGAGAGAACTCTACGTGCAGGTGGGCTGTCCTGCCCCTGGCTGCTGGCTCTCTGGGCCTTTCTTCCCGGGCCCTGCTACCTGCCTCCCAGCTCTGCCCGGGACCTGCACCGTGTGCCTGGGGGGTCCTTCCTCTTATTCGGTGACCAGGTACCTGTAGGAGGAGGCCCTGTGCCTGGCACATAGTAGGTGCTTATGATTTAGTGAATGGACAGAGGGGTGGCAGGAGGGCGTGGTAGCTGAGAGGATCCAAGAGGTTCCAGTTCAGACCCCAAACCCAAGCTCCAGACCGGGCCAGCTGCCCCGTGGCCACCTGAGCTTCTGTGCTGCACTGCACACCCTGGTTCAGCATCTGTCCTCCCCCACCTCACCCGCCTCCTTCGAGACCAGGAGCTTCCTGAAGGCAGGGACCCCAGGGCCCAGAACAGGGCCTGGACAGAGAGGGTGAAGGTGGGGTGAATGTGTGAGCCCAGGAGAGAGGCGTTTACTGTAAAAGAACCACGTGCAGACCTGCTGCTGGCTGGGCTGCAGACCCGGGTGGCACAGGGCCGGCTCCCTGCTCCAGAGAGCGCCCGGCTGGTGGCAGGGAGGGGAGGCAGGTGTGTGTGTGTGTGTGTGAGTGTGTGTGTGCATTTGGGATGCATTCAGGCCAGGGTACACAGAGGATTTAGGGAGGCAGTTTTGAGTGCTTTCCCAGTGCCCACCTCTCCTCCTCCTGGCCTCCCCTCTCCCCCTCAGTCCTCCAGGCCTTGGCTGACACGTGGCTTCTTTGGGGCCTCTGTTTCATGTCCCCGTGCTCCCTCCCTCCTCCCGCATTTGTAACACTCATCACGATGGTAATTAAATCATCGTGTTGTGCTTATTGATGTGGCGTCTGCCTCCCACACCAGAGCCCCTGGGAGGGCCCGTCACTCTTGCACGGCTCCGTGAATGAATGATGCTGAGCATCTAAAGTGAAAGCCGGTGGGTGCTGCGTTGTGTGTCAGGATGGGGACTGACCGGGCGCCTGGCCTAACAGGACAGAGGCAGCTCAAGGGATCCCCCCTCCTGCTGGTTTCGGAGGTGCTCCTAGTGGGTCCCCCTAGGGGAGGTGGGCAGCAGCTGCTGACACGCCCTGTCCTCCAGGGAGGCGGTGACTGCCCCGAGATGAGCGTGGGGGCCATCAAGGCCGCCGTGGAGGTCTCCTACCCCGGCTCCTTCATCTTCGTCTTCTCAGACGCCCGGGCCAAGGACTATCACAAAAAGGATGAGCTTCTGCGGCTCCTGCAGCTGAAACAGTCGCAGGTGAGCGAACCGCCCGGGGCTTGCGTGGGGGGACTCGTGGGGAGCTGGGGTCTCCAGCATGGGCACCCCCGAGCCCCGACAGCAAAGTCCGGGTGCTTCTCGTCCACCACCCGGGGTCCAGCCTCCGCCAGCCACGCCGGCCAACCCCCAGCCCCGAGCTGGTCTGGTGAACTCCAAGTGTGTGCTCATGCGCTGGGTCCCCGCCCGCCAGGGCCCGCGCCTCCCCGGGGAGGCCCGTCCTTGACAAAGCCCACACCGCTCTGGCCTTACACACCCTGTCAGTGTCCGCACCATCCATCTTCCTCCTGGCGTCGCCTCTGCGCCCGTCTCGGCCGTGGATGCGCGGCGCCCTTTTTCCGTTGTCTCAGGACCTGGAAGCCGAGCGGGGCCCTGGCTGTCTGAGGGGTGGGGGAGGGCTGTGGTGGGAAGGCAGAGGGCTGCTGCTGGACATCCGGGGGCTGGGACAGCTGCTCTGTGGTCCCATCGAGGACAAGCTCGGTTCTTCTAACTCTGCAGCCTCCGGGGCCCCTCGGAGCAGAGTCGATTTCCATTCCCTTCCTTGTAAGCTGAATACCCGCTCCGGTTCATGGAGCACCGTCGTGTTCCCGGGCCTGCGCCGACCCCTTGCCCTGCGCCGACCCCTTTGGCCTGCGCCAGTCCTGACCCCGCACCCCCCGGGGTGGGTGCTCTTCTCCCCATTTTACAGATGGGTCACCTGAGCCCAGAGAGAGGGAAGGGCTCGCCCCGTCCCTCCTCCCTGTTTCGTCCCTGCCACTTGCGGCCGAGGAAGGTGGCCGGGGAGCCATGAGCCAGGCTGTGTGTCCCTCTTCCAGGTGGTCTTCGTGCTGACCGGGGACTGCGGTGACCGCACGCATCCTGGCTACCTGGCCTACGAGGAGATCGCTGCCACCAGCTCTGGGCAGGTGTTCCACCTGGACAAGCAGCAGGTGACCGAGGTGAGCCTCCCCTGACATCCTGTGTCTCCGGGCGTCGGGTGGCCATCACAGGTGAGCGGTGCTGAGTGCGGGGCTGGCCACGGTTCGGATTCACTCAGGTCGGCACCGACCACGTGTCTGCGTCCTTGTCTCGTTCTCGGACCTGTGCCTGCCCTTCCTGTCCCCCGCTCCATCGGCCACCCAGGGCTCCCCCCGCTTTCCCTCTGCCCCACAAGGCCATTCCTTCCCAGGAGCCAGAGGGGTCCTTCCAGGACCTGCCAGGCAGTTTTCACAGGCAGGAGCAAGAACACTCCCTTCCGTGGTGTAAATCCTGCCTTGGCTCCCTTCGCGCTGCCCCGGGAACTCGCTGAGCAGAGCTGGAAAGGGACGCTCACGCCGACGTTCTTGAGCCCGTGAGCTGGCTCCAGCATCCCGCTGGATTGGTCTGAAACAGATCCCACACACAGGCCCTCCTGCTGTCCCCTGGGAAGGTGCAGACCTCGTCTGACCGCTGCCTCTCTGTTCCCTTCACCTGGGTTCGCCCCTTTGCCCACTGTCCCCGCCCTGCTGGCCTCTGCTATTTCTGCAGGGCCCCTGTCTTTCCTACCCCAGGGCCTTTGCTTCTGTGCCTTGTTCTCTGCACTCTGCCTCCTGGCTCCTGCTCATCTTCCCAGTCTTAGCGGAAATACGCCTCCTCAGGGAGACCTTCTGACTGCCCGTCAAGATTAAGTCTCCTTTCCTGCTCTCCCCGGGCGGCTCTGCATCACTGTAATTTTACAACCGTGAGCTCCCCGAGGCTGAGCCCGGGTGCTACTGTATCCCCAGCACCTCGTCCAGCCACCGGCGCAGAGCAGGTGCTTGGTAAATGGCCGGGGAGTGGACAGACGGGGTCCCTTGTGCCTGAGGCCCTGGGAGGAGAAGGCAGCCCCACGTCTCCTGCTGGAGAGGGTTTCTTGTCTTGTATATTTGTGTTCTGAAGGGAACGGGCCAGGCGTGTTTGGATTAGCGTCTTAACTCCCTGTTGGCAGATGGCGTCCATGGTTCTCTGCGACACATTAGCCTGTGATTTTTGGCTTGTCCGTCTATTCTGGCCCGGAGCCGGCCGAGTCAGGGTGGAAGGCATTTCACAGTGTGGGGATGGCTTGGTCCTGTCCTTGTTTTGGGGGGAGACCTGCTTGGGCAATTGCAGGGGAACTGGGTTCCTGCCAGGGCCACCGGCGGGTGGGCGAGGACGGCTTGCCCAGGTGTGGGGCTGGGAGCTCCCCCCCCCCCCCCGTTCTCTCCCTTGAGGCAGGGAACCTGTACAAATCCACCCGTTCATGGCCACGGTGCCAGATTTCCTGCCCGGGAGCCTGGCTGGGCAGCGCTCAGTGGGACCGCCGACGGCTAGGATTAGCCGCCTCCGGGTAGGGGCCTGGATCCCTCTCCTTCCTGGACACACAGCTCTGCCATTTGTTAGCTTAATGCCTTGGACCTGGCCCCTTCCAGATGTTCCCAGACATTCGGCAAAGCCTGGGAACGCGGCCGGGCAGCCAGGGCTGCGGTCATCCTTCCAGGAGGGGGACGGGGCCTTCGGCCCAGCCAAGGCGCTGCAGCTGGGAGGAGTCGCAGAAGCTGCAGCAGCCCCGCTGTGTGCAGCAGGCCTCCTACCTGTTCAGAGCGGGTCCAGCGTGGCCGGGCGACACTTTCCGCGCTCCCGCCGCCCCTGGCTGACTGCGCACCTACTATGTGCCAGGGCAGCCGAAGGTGCTGGGCACAGAGGGATCTGCGTCCGGCGCAGGTCCCAGTGCTTTTGAGCATGGAGCTTTCTCCAGTTGTGGGGTTAGCCTCACGGAACCAGGGGTCCCCTCCCCCTGGCCAGGGGGATTTGCAGCCTTTGCCATCCCGTAGCAGACGGGGGAGGCGGGCAACACGGCCCCGGGGCCTGTCCTGAAGGAGGCAGTTCTGATGGAGACTGAGCTGGGTCCCAGCAGCCACTTGCCCCAGCACAGCTGTCCTGCAGGCTTCCCACCGGCTCAGTACACCGGGTCAGAATCTGTGGGCAGTCCCATCAGCCTGCAGCCTGCCTGGGCCCTGGGAAGTCCCGTGCGGGGACCCAGACCCTTCCCCTGTCTGGCACCAGCAGGTGCTAATATGGAAAGTGCCCAGATTCTGTGCATCCGCTCGGCCAGGGGAAAGGTGAGGGCCTTCTGGGACAGTCGGGGGGTGGGGAGGTCCTGCCCAGGTGGTTCTGATTAACGGATCAGGAGGCACGGGCCCCGGAGATGACTTCATCCTGGACCCTTCCCAGAGGAGGAGGTGGGGGAGCGTCAGGGCCACACGCTGGCTCAGACTCCAGCTGCCACCCGTGGGCAGTGTGCCCCGGAGCACAGCGGGAGCCCCTCTGAGCCTCCGTGTCCTTGCGCACAGCGGGGCTATGAGAGCCCCCGCCTGGTGAGACGGCAGTGAGGGCGCAAGGAAGCCGCGCGTGGGAAGCCCTGGGCGCACGGCCCGGCCGCGGGAGCCCTTGGCGAGGGTGGGCGACGGCTGTGACTGCGGCCCTGTGCTCGGGAAAGCAGGGCCTGGGACAGGTGCCCGGGGTGCCCCGTTGGCAGGGGCTAGCACTCTCCCTTCATCCATGCCCACGAGCTTCCTGAAGCCACAGGGCCCAGGATGGGGCCCTCAGTGTTCCAATCTGTGGCTCTGAGGCCCATTCGGGCCCTGGCTTCCCCTCTCTGCTTCTTCAGCTGCCTTGGCTGTCAAATGTTGTGGGAGGAGCCTTGGGGACGGCGGATCTGCCTGGAAGGGCTGACCAGCAGCCATCTGGCCGGGGGAGCAAGCCCAGGTTCTTCATTCCTTCCCCACCAGGGACAGAGATGAGCCCCGATGCACTGCTGGCTCCCAGGCCCCCGGTCCCGCTAACATCTGGAAGCCATTGCTTTCACCAAATAAACACCAAGCTTGCTGGATGCAGGCTCTCTTCTCGGAAGGCTCCCTGGGTTCCACTCTGAGCCCTGGGGGCATCGCGGGGGCCAGAAGGCCTTGCCCCCAGGCTTGACCTCAATATGGGCAAGAGGGTCAGCCCATCTCCCCCCCCCCCCAGACCTCCCCAGCTCCTGAGTGGTGATGTGCTTACAGGGCAGGCCCCGTGGGCAGGCCGCCTCCTGGCGAGGTCACTGGCATTCTGTCCCATCTCAGCCCTCCCCATGGCTCAGTAGCCTAAACTCCTGGGCCTCTTTCCCTAAACAGAACATTCGAGAATGAGCTTAAAATAACAGTTGCAACACGGTAGCGGTGTGACTTGTCTGGGTAATTGTCCGCTGTGCTGCCACCGCCTCCTGGCAGCTTTGCTCAGTGATGATCCCCCCGACCCCTGACAAGGCCTGGCCCCGGGGAAGACTGGTCACAGAGCCGTTCCCGTGCCGCTGGGGGAGTTGCCTCACTGACTTCGCCAGCTTCTGTCCATCTGGGAGCCCTGGCGGCGGCTTCCTCCCGGCCGCCCCCGCACGGATGAAGAATGTTGGTGAAGACAGGTGGGACCTTTTCAAGAGAAACATTACTTCGAAGGCAAAACAAAAGATGGAGTAGCTCCAGGCCTAGAAACAGATGCTTTTCCAGAACACCGCATTCTTAGCCCTTGTTAACTTAAATCTGGCTATAAAGTCTAGGCACACAGGTTCTAGCTCAGTCTAAACAAATCATATACATTTTCTAAACCTTGGGCAATTCTTCCAATTCCGTGCCTTTCCCTGGGAGATCGATGGGAGGCAGAGCTAAAGGAGAATGATTCAGAGCAAGCATGGCCAACAGATAGCATGCGAGACACCACTTCTAATGTCATATCCATGGCAGACATTGCTAATCAATCACAGAGCTGTTTAAAATTGAGGCAGGATGTGGCTTCTTATTTCTTCTTCTAACAGTATTCCAGGAAGCCGATTCCTGTTGATTAGAGTTGCCAAGCAACAGGCTACCACTATGGTTGCTCAGATATATAGAAAGAGGGTGGGGCAAAAGTAGGTTTACAGTTGTTGGTATGGAAAATAATACAATGTGTATTCTTTTTTTTTTTTTTACTTTAATAAATTACTACGAAGCCCTGCCTGTTGTGGTTCAGTTGGTTGGGCATTGTCCTGTATCGATGAGAGAGAGACATCGATCAGCCGCCTCCTGCACATCTCCTACTGGGGATGTGATCCCTGGTAAGGGGCAGCCGATCGATATTTCTCTCTCCCTCTCCCTTTATCTTTAAAAATCAAACCCTAGCCGGTTTGGCTCAGTGGATAGAGCGTTGGCCTGCGGACCGAAGTGTCCCAGGTTCGATTCTGGTCAAGGGCACGTGCCTGGGTTTTGGTTCAGTTGGTTGGGCATTGTCCTGTGCACGGAAGAGTTGCTGGTTTGGTTCCCCGTCAGGGTACATGCTCAGGTTTGGGGCTTGATCCCTGGTAAGGGGCAGCCGATCGATATTTCTCTCTCCCTCTCCCTTTATCTTTAAAAATCAAACCCTAGCCGGTTTGGCTCAGTGGATAGAGCGTTGGCCTGCGGACCGAAGTGTCCCAGGTTCGATTCTGGTCAAGGGCACGTGCCTGGGTTTTGGGCTCAGTCCAATGTGCAGGAGACAGCCAATCAATGATTCCCTCTCATCAGTGATGTTTCTATCTCTCTCTTCCTCTCCCTTCCTCTCTGAGATAAATAAAAATATATATATTTAAAAATCAATAAAAAGTCTTTAAAAAATTACTGTGAAAAATGTCAAAGATATAGAAAAATAAAAAGAACTTAGGTACCAGCTAGATCCAGCAATTAACATGTTAGCTCCACCTGCTTCGTCTCTCTGTATACTTTTTGCTGAATGATGACACCTTATCCATAAATAATTCAGCATGGATATTTAAAAAATAGCCTACAATATTATCGAATTAAGTGTACTTTGCTAGTTTCATCTGATGTTGAGTCCACATTCAAATTTTCCTCAGAATGTCTTTTTGTTGTTGTTAATCTTCACTCGATATTTTTCCATTGATTTTTAGGGAGAGGGAAAGTCAGAGAGAAACATCGATGTGAGAGAAACACATCGATTGCTTGCCTCCTGCACGCGCCCCGGCCAGGGCTCGGGCTGGGGAGGAGCCTGCCACCGAGGTACGTGCCCTTGACCGGAATCGAACCCGGGACCCTGTGGTCTGCAGGCCGAGCTCTGCCCACTGAGCCAAACCGGCTAGGGCCCTCAGAATGTGTTTATAACCGTTTTTGCCCGATGGGACTTCATCACGGGCGGTGCATGTCGTCTGGTTGTCATGGCTACGGAGCCCTTTACATCTGGAGCAGGCCACCCTCTGTACATGCCACCGGCTTGTCGACGAGGCACCGCCTTTACAATGTCCCGTGTTCCGGTTCCAGCTGATGGCTTCCTTATGGCGTGAACTGTGTCTCCTATATTTCCCCTGAACTGGGGGTTAGCGCTACACGCCTGTCTAGATGGAGGCCAGCAGGTTTGGCAGGAATAGTTCATAGCTGGTGCTGTGTGTATTCTCTATTACATCACACCAGCAGGCGAATAATGTCTGACTGTCCCACTCTTCCTGGAGAGAAGCGTGATTACTGGGTTGGGGTGTCGACAGCCAGCTCTCCGCATCGGGAGGCCATGCGTTCCCGTGTGACTCAGGTGGTCTGTGGGGTAGCGCTGGGGCTGCATGTGGACGTCCAGCTCCCCATCGCCCTTTCATCCGCGGTGTGAGCTTCCACCGAGCATGCGCGCCCGGAACACTTATTTCACGAGGGGCTGCAAAACGATGATTTCCTAACTGCATCATTCCTTCCGCGTTAACCAGCGGGCGCTCTTCCAGGAAGGAGGGCTTTTGCTCATCGGAAGGAAGGGTTTGGTTTGTCCGAAGCCCAGTTCCGATCAGAAGGGCAGGGATCACCCTTAGTTCTTTCTCTTTAATGAAGAAGTCGCCTTCACTGGTGACAAGTGAGGTTTTACTGTTTTGAATTTTGCACTTCTTTTTGAGTATTATTATGGGCATGTGGGTCACATAATGCAGTGTGTTTTGATCGATTACTGTTACTCTATTTGGGGCTCAAATTTTTCTAAATTTAGCCAGTGGGGCTTCTGCAAGCTGGTGGCCGTGTCCTCTGGCTGTGTCCCGTTCGTCTTCGAGGACTTCCTCGCTTTATGGAGTTATCGGCTGCCTCAGGTTTGCATTGTACATTGCCTGCCCCGGACTCAGAATCAGCCATCTCTCCAAGGAACCCTAGTTCAGAATGGTATTAGGTTCTAATTCACTCCGAGTGGATTTAATATATATATAGATATGTGTGTGTGTGTGTGTGTGTGTGTGTGTGTATAATTGATTTCAGAAAGGAAGGGAGAGGAAGAGAGAGATAGAAACATCAATGATGAGAGAGAATCATTGATCGGCTGCCTCCTGCACACCCTGGGGATTGAGCCCGCAACTGGGGCATGTGCCCTTGACCGGAATCAGACCCAGAACCCTTCAGTCTGCAGGCCAGTGCTCTATCCACTGAGCCAAACCGGCTAGGGCTGGAGTGGATTTATAGAGAATGAGGCGCCTGCAGTTCTCTGTGACACTTGGCTATCAGAGAGAGTCTGGGCGCAGAAAACATGAACCTCCTCAGCGCTGTGCTTTACCCTACAAGTCCCACAGACCAGCCTCCCAGTCGCAGTGAGAGGCTGGCAGCTGGAAGCCGCTCCACGAAGGTTTCTTTGCAGGTCCCTTTGTCCTCAGTGTGCCCCCCACTGAGCACAAGTTCAAACCCTGGGTTTTCAGCTCAATGGAGGTTAACTTTTTCTCTCTGTGGTCATGGTACCCATCCCTCATCCGGTCAGGGGCGTGTGCCCTGTGTTTCAGTTTCAGGGTTTGCACAGGATGCTTCCTGACGTAACTTGGAGGGAAGGAGAGGTTCCGACGGGAGGGGCTGCCCCTCTCCCTCTTTCCTGGTTTTCTGGCTGGGACCTGGGAGGCTTGGCTGCTGCAAGGAGGAGGTGTGAGCTGGGAGTGGGTGCTGGTGGAATTGAGGGAGCCGTCTGTCTACAGGGTGAACCTGGGGTGGGTGCTGGTGGAATTGAGGGAGTCGTCTGCATCCACAGGGTGAACCTGGGATGGGGGATGGTGGGTGTGGTCTGAGGCCCCTAGGGGGGTGATGGTGAACTATGTTGGTCTGGGGCAGTGGTTCTCAACCTTCCTAATGCCGCGACCCTTTAATACAGTTCCTCATGTTGTGGTGACCCCCAATTTCATTGTTACAAATTGGACATAATTAAAGCATAGTGATTAATCGCAAAAACAATATGTAATTATATGTGTGTGTTCCGATGGTCTTAGGCGACACCTATGAAAGGGTCGTTCGACTCCCAAAGGGGTCGCGACCCACAGGTTGAGAACCACTGGTCTGGGGCAAGATTCCAGATCTCCAGGGTTCATCTGTGTATAGGAGGCATCAGGAGGGCTGCCTGGAGGAGGTGATGGGGGCCATGGAAGTTGGCCAGGTGAAGGAGGGAAGAGTCTTCCCAGCAGAAGGGCACTCCTTGCTCCTTCCGTCCAAGCTGAGTCCTCTGGATGCCTCAGTTCAGGTGTCACAGCTCTGAGCCCACAGGCTGGGGATGTGGGTAATGCTCTGAATTGGGGCTGGTGGGGCTCAGGGGGGTGTGGGGTGCCCTCCAGATGACCTGGAAAGCCTGTATGCTGCCCAAAACCCATGGGGGAAGCCAGGTTCTGCACACAGCTGGCAGCCTGTTAAGGACCCACCATCAGTGGGCCAGACACACGTAAGACAAGGTAACATGTTGGCGTCAGCTTCTCACACCTGCCTCCCAGGTGCTGAAGTGGGTGGAGTCAGCCATCCAGGCGTCCAAGGTGCACCTGCTGTCCACGGACCACGAGGAACAGGGCGAGCACACGTGGAGGATCCCCTTCGACCCCAGCCTGAAGGAGGTCACCATCTCCCTGAGCGGCCCGGGCCCCGAGATCGAAGTCCGAGACCCGCTGGGTATGTGCGCCCCTCCTCTTTGGCCCCAGGATTGAGCTGGGAGTCAGGATGGGACAAGGAGAGAGACCTGTGGTGGCCCCTGGACACAAGGCTCCGGGAGCAAGGAGGGTGGGGGGTGCCAGGTGGGGGGCAGAGAGGGTCCATGGTGGGTGAGGAAGCAGGAGGCCGGGAGAAGCCAGGTGAGGGGAATTAAGATGAGGACAGTCCTGGGATGGGAGGCTCCCACGGAGTCCTTCCCCACAGTAGCCTGGCGGGTCAGTGAGGGCACGAATTAGTGGCACGTAGTACAGATGGGAAGCTGGGGTTCAGGGAGGTGGTTTGGACCTGGCCACCTGGCTCCCCGATGCTCCGAGGATGTCATGAGAACCTCAGGCTATAGGCCAGGAGTGCATCCCACACCTGGGGAGGGGGAGGGGGGGCGTGCAGAATGAGGGGGAGGCCCCAGCACTGCCAAAGGCCTCTCGTCAGTTTCTCTGGGAAGCCTGAGGCTGGTGTTTGGAGAGCCACGGGTTCCTGGGGATAGGGTGGGCCTCTGTCGCCCCCCGGGAAAGTGTTGGGGACTGAGAGTCACTGGGGCTTCCACAGGGAGGATCCTGCAGAAGGATGAGGGCCTCAACGTGCTTCTCAACATCCCTGACTCGGCCAAGGTGGTGGCCTTTAAGCCGGAGCATCCTGGGCTCTGGTCCATCAAGGTAGGGGGCACTGGGTTCCCGGGCTGTGGGGAGCCCAAGCCGCATGGACTTGAGACACCATCTCCTTCCTGCCTGGCCTGGGGAGCCTGGGGTCCTGGGGAGCTGAGGGCTGGAGCTTGGGTAGTGATGTGGGCATATCAATAGAAGTAAAGGGTCAAAAACAGAGGAGGGGTATTCTGCTTTGTAGCCGTGAGAGGAAGTGGAGTGGTTTGGGTTAGTTAGGGGATGTTTATGAAGGACGTGGAGAAATGACTTGAGCGTCCTGAGATGGGAAACAGAGCCCTGTCCAGGGAGAAGGCACAGAAGAAGCAAGGGTGACCTCGGGGGAAGGCTTCGAGGAACAGTCCTGGCAGGTCGGGTCGGCACTCCTGGAGCTGGGGTGTGGGGGTCGAGGGCCCCGGTGACGTGGGCCTGGGCTTGTGCTAGGTCTACAGCAGCGGCCGCCATTCGGTGAGGATCACGGGCATCAGCAACATCAACTTCCGCGCCGGCTTCTCCACTCAGCCCTCTCTGGACCTCAACCACACCATCGAGTGGCCCCTGCAAGGTACATGCTCCTGGAGCTGCCCTCTGAGGGGTGGGGCTTGCCTGTGGGAAACAGTGGGAGCGCTGGGGGCCGACTGTGAGTGAGCGGCTGTGGAACAGGTGGCCCAGGCTGGGTTCCCACACCACGGGGCCAGGCCCCAGCCCAGGTGACATAGTGGCCATTTCCCTTTAGAACAGTGGTTCTCAACCTTCTGGCCCTTTAAATACAGTTCCTCATGTTGGGACCCAACTATAAAATTATTTTCATTGCTACTTCATAACTGTAATGTTGCTACTGTTATGAATCGTAATGTAAATATCTGAGATGCAGGATGGTCTTAGGCGACCCCTGTGAAAGGGTCGTTCGACCGCCAAAGGGGTCGAGACCCACAGGTTGAGAACCGCTGCTTTGGAACATGCTCCACTACTGAGTTCACACCTTCCCCTTCTTCTGGGTCAAAACTTGTTTACCAAGAGCCTGGCTCCTCCAGTTTCCCGCTTTGACGCTGTGTGGAGTGGAGGTGATGCAGCCTTGGGGGCCCACTGGCGGGATGAGCAGTGGCATTTCAGGACCACGGACAGGAGCAAGCCCCCCTCTCTCCTTGTCCCACCTCCCCGTGTGAATGTCCCAGGGAAGGGAAGGTGAGGTAGCTGGTGAAGGAGGACCAAGTGGGCTGATCCCTGGCCGATTGACCGATAGACCGATAGACCTAGGGCCGCTCCTTGGGGAGGATCATGGAGCCCAGCACAGATGCCAGCACCTCCTCCCTCGCCCTTCCCTCTGCAGGGGTGCCCATCTCCCTGGTGATCAACTCCACGGGCCTGCAGGCCCCTGGCCGCGTGGACTCGGTGGAGCTCTCACGCAGTTCAGGGCAGCCCCTCCTGACTCTGCCCACGCAGCTGCTCTCCAACGGATCCGCCCATCAGCTGTGGGGTGGGCCGCCATTCCATGCCCCCGAGGAGCGCTTCTACCTCAAGGTGAAGGGCGAGGACCATGAGGGGAACCCCCTCCTTCGTGTCTCTGGAGTTGCCTATCGTGGGGTGGCCCCAGGTGAGTGAGTGGCTCTTGCCACCCCTAGATTTCTGTCTCAGTTGCCAACCCATTTCTTCTGGGAGCCCTCCTGGTTAGATTAGATTACGGAGTGTGTTCATTGATTTCTGTGGGTAGCAAGCTCTGCAAGGATTATGCTGAGTACTGAGATGCTTCCGATGTAGCCCTCAGCTCAGATACGTAGTACAAAGTCATCCTCCACCCATGCATTCATCTATTTATCCATACATGCATGTGTCCATCGTACCCACTCATCCATCCAGACATCTACCTACCCATCCATCCATCCATCCACCCACCCACCCATTCATCCATCCATCCACCCATCCACCCACCCATCCACCCAGCCATCCATCCATCCATCCATCCATCCATCCACCCACCCATTTATTCATCCAAATATCCACCCACCTGTCCATTCAACATTTCATTTTGTGTCATTCATAATGTGGACACAGCAGTGGGCAGGGCAGTGGGTATGGGTTTGGTCTTTTGTTATAATCACTGTATAATCATGACCTTGCTAACACTAATTTAGCCATCATTTTGAGCACTTCCCTTGGGGCAGTCCTGGGCCAAGCCCACTTGCCACACATTCGCTCCTCGAATGCTTATAACATTTCTGAGATGTGTTTCCATTTTATAGATGAAGAAACTGAGGCCACCAAAACAAATAATTTTAGGAAAAAAAAAAAAAAGAAACGAGGCCACCCACCTCCCAGGGGTGCTTGGAAGGTTCCATAAGCTAATGCACATGAAGAGAGGCTCGTGGGGCCGCTCAGGGTCTGCGCCCAGGATGTGGGGATTGTGGGCCATGCTGGGTTGGTTCCCACACCTGGTGGCTTTCTGCTGGTTTTCTGTGTGTCCCTGAGGTCTCACATCCCGTCTGGAAGCTTCCAGAGGGCAGGGTGGAGTCTCTGGCTTTCCAGCTCTGTCTCTGGGCCTGGCAGGGGCATCTCAGTTCCCTGGCCACTGGCTTCCATACTGGGCTCCACTCCCTCCTGCCCACTCCCATGTGGCGGCCTGGGAGGAGCTCACAGAGGTGGCTGTCACTGACATTCCAGGTCCTTGCTGGGGATCTCAGCGAGGGGCAGACTCCTCTGTCCACATCACTGGGGGTGGGGGGGCAGGCGGGGG